CTCTCTCTCTCTCTCTCTCTCAGGTGTGTCGCTCTCAGTACGACTCCCTCCGCGATCGCGCCTCCTCTCTGGAGCTCCAAGGCTCCTCACTGACCTCCGACCTCTCCCGGGTCCAGGGCCTCCTCTCTCGAAGCCGCAGGGAGTCGGCCTCCTTCCAGTCGGCGTGCGCCCTGCTGGCCGGGGCGCTGAAACACGCTCACCGCCGGCTGCAGGCGCTCTCCAAACAGAAAACACTCCTGTCCAGGCGGCTGGCGGAGAGGGAGATGCTGGAGGAGGAGGTGAGGAGGCTGGCTGCTGCTCTGGGAGGGGAGGAAGATAAGGAAGAGGAGGGAAGAGGAAGGGAGGCAGTGAGAAGGTGGAGGAGGAGCGTGTGCGTGGTGTTGGCGGTGAGGCGGTGGCGTGCACTGACCAAACAGACGACAGTGTTGTTCCGGGTGGAGAGAGGCGGTGGCGAGCCGGCTGTTGGCGTCTGTGGAGGGTCGCCTACGGCAACACAGAAGGGTCACGACGTCCTGAGCACAGGTCGGTGGTCGACTCTCCTCCCTGCAGTCAAACATCAGTTTTCTTCTTGTTCCTACAGTCGGATGTTTGTGTTTCAGATAAAGACGACGGTGGAGGTCCTGACGGTGTCTGTGCTCGCTGGCTTCGCTCTAAATGTCTCTCTTCCATCATTCTGTCCTCCGTGGTCGACCTGCAGGGGGCGCTAACGCACACTGGTAACCACACACGTTTACTGACATCACAGAGACTTACCCTGTTAGATAGGCTATGTTGGAAAGACAACCACATTTTGAAGATGGTCGGAAGCTAGTTAGTTATCTGATGTTTTGTTAGCCAGTTAAAGATTAATGTAGATTAGCGAGCTAGTTTGCTCATCATGACGTGTCTCTTTGAATGTCTAGGCTCCTCCCCTGCAGATGTGATGTCAGCCTCTCGTTCCGCTTTGTCCCGCCTCCTGGATCACCTTCTCGACCAATCAGATGCGACGTCTCGCTGCGGGTTGAACGAGGACACGCTGAGCAGCCGGCTGAGACTCGGCCTGAACAAAGTGACGCCTCCACGGCCCAACACGAAGGTCGCTCAACCACAGACACACACACAGTGATGGTTGTAGTTTTATCTTCTGCTGACCTTTGACCTCTGTGTGTGTCCTCCCAGCAGACCCTGGTTTCCACCCTCCAGCAGCACTTCCTGCTCTTCAGCCAACGGCTGCACTCGGCCGAGGTAGAGAGGCGGAGCCTGAGGTTGGAGGTGACCAATCTGAAGAGAGGACTGCGGCGGGAGAGAGAGGATACCTGCAGGACGGTGAGGCTCAACACACTCACCTGTACTGTACTGACCTCTGCCCTGTATCTACTGTAGTGACCTCTGCCCTGTATCTACAGTACTGACCTCTGCCCTGTATCTACAGTACTGACTTCTGCCCTGTATCTGAAAGGAGGTAATACTGAGGTGTGTTTGCAGGTCCCGGCAGAGCGGTTCCACAGTGTGTGCGTGGAGCTCCGTCAGGCGCTGAGCAGGGAACAGGAAGCTCAGGCGCTCATCCAGGAACAGACCGACCAGCTGCACGCACTGCAGCTCCGAGTCAGCACACACACCACCGAGCTGACCGACACACAGCACACGCTGAGCCAGACCGCACAGGTAAACGCTTCAACTGAACCATTACTGTGTCATTTACAGATTATTCTTTCCAGAATATAGAGGGGGCTGGTTGAGAGTATTTCTGCATTCACATTAGGGAATTTACCAACTTTTACTTATAAATGTAAATTATATGAGAACATCAGTCTTATTATGTGCTGCTGATCAACGGTTCCCTCAAAAAATGTCTCAGCTTTGATGTCCATTGTGAATAAATTACCCTTAAATCCACTTTAAAAATCTGATCAGTCAGTCAAGCCTTACTTTTAAGTTGTCTGAACATCCACGAGATCTCTGCAAACAGGAGCTGCTAACAGATAATTCGGCTACTTTTAAAGGTCCTAATTTGCTAATTCGGGGGGTGGAGATGCCTGGTTTTGTCTGAAGGGGGCCCGCTGTGTCAGACTTTGAAAACCACTAATTTATAGCAACAGAGCAGAGCTATAACACGTCCTCTCTGTCTAGTCTCTGTCGGAGGCTCGACAGGAGGTGAGTCAGAAGGAGCGCTCGCTGAGGATTCTGGGTAAGCACCTGTCAGGGGTTCATAGGCAGAGAAAGCAGCTGGAGGAGAGACTGCAGCGAGTCGAGGACGAGCTGAGGGACGGCAAGAGGTAACACACACCTGCAGCCCCAAATACTCTCTAGAGCACCGAATCTGGAAATTATCCAAATGTTTATTTTATTATTCTGTCTCTTTCCAGACGTAAAGATTGGCTGATCAATAACATAAAGGCAGCAGAGACGAGCTACAAGGAGGTGAAGACACACACACACACACACACACACACACACACACATACACACACACACACACCTGGTAACACACACTGTGCCTTCTTTAGGTCAGAGAAAGTCTCATCCAATCACGTCGGTCCATGTCAGCTCAGCCCCGCCCCCTGCCGTTACCCAGGGAACACCTGGAGCTGAGTGGAGCAGAGAGCATCATGGGAGCTCCTGAGATGGCAGCGTGCCAGGTAACAAACAAGAGTCTGTCTCTCTTTCTGTCTGTCTCACCCTCTGTCTGGCTCTCTGTCTCACTCTCTGCCTGTCTGTCTGCAGGCTCTTCTCTCCGCTGTCTCTCAGCTCTATCAGACCTGCAGCTCCAGGATTGACTGGCTGGAGCAGGAAGTCTCCGCCCACCGCAGTCATGTGACCGCGCTGCGCAGCGAGCTGCAGGACGTCTGTCTCCGTGACAACCTGCTCTACGTCCCTGTGAGACGCTTCATTATTAATTTAATATTTAATCAATTCATTGATTACCTAATTGCCAGAAAATTAATAAACTTTTATGATCAAATCTTTTGTTTGGGAAATAAAAACTGAAATAAAATAGTTTCACTTTGTGTTTCAGGTGGCCGAGTTTCCCGAAACCTTTCCGTTCGCTGACGTGGAAACCTCTCGACCTGTTCCGCTCTCTGATTTGTCAAAAGAGCCGGCAGTCAGTTTAAGCCACGCCCCCTCTACGACAAACCCCGCCTCCTTTCAACCAAATCCCGCCCCCTCATCACCCTTCTCCAAACCCTGCAAGGCCAAGACGAAGGAGAAGAAAGTGGTGAGGAGGAACAGAGGAGGGAGGAGACAGACGGACACTTCGTGACACGTAGAATGTGAATATGAACACTTTTAGTTTTCATCGTGGAAACTCTTCAACACAGTCGTGAAAAGACGTCATCAGAAAACGTCGAGACAATCAGACACACAGCTGGTTGGTGACAACTGAAGGCCATATGGCCGTCAGTCTGTGTGTGTTTGTGTGTGAAGCAGAGCAGCAGCTGTTGCTGTATGTGTCGATATTAACCTTCAATAAAATATTTCTGCTCTTGAACTCTTGAAGTTTGTTTCTTTTTTTAAAGAAAAAAATATTCTAGTTTGGGTCTTCGGTTTGATTTAGAACTAGTGACGTTTGGTTACTGTCAAGTAATAAAATATATGTAACCTGCAGTCCTGGCATACAGTAGATACAGGGCAGAGGTCAGTTTGTGCTGTGAGTTGTCTTTTGTTCACCACATTCATATCAATGAGGACAGACTGAATATTATTATTAATAATAATAATTAAACTGCACTCAACAGTTTCAACACAAACAAACTGAACATTTAACCAACTACTACATTTTACTAGCTGTACCTATTAAACTGGACAACCTGTATGTTCTGTTAAAGAGTATAAACGGAGCCAAAGATAAAGGAAATGTAGAAATGTGCACGAACAAAGTGAGAAAAGTTTTTAACCAGAAGAAGAAGAACACGACAAACATTTTACTGCTGCTGCATCAGCAATGTGTGTGTGTGTGTGTGTGTGTGTCTTTGTCTCTGTGGATTTCTATTAATGTCTGAACGCAAAAATCGTCCTCACGCTCACACACCCTTAGGCTCTCTGTGTATGTGTGTGTGTTGAGACGTCTTTTACAAAGCGACTTAATCTGCTGTCACACACACACATTTGTGCTGATTCAGCCAAACAGGATTCTCCCTTTTCCTCCTTCAAACCACTTTTTTCTTTTTACTTTACACTGCCACATTAAAACCTACATTTCCACCAAAATTGTGTTCGTTTATTTGGGTTTTGGATGAGAAAACGTATTAACATTATTCTACAGTAACGATACTCTGTCTGTTGTAGTGGATCCATCTGCAGAATTAAGGTGTTGGAATCGACATATTTATGAGTATTTCATGTTGTCAGATGGATGAACATGTATAAGTGATTAACAGCTATAGCATTTATAAGATCTGAAAAAGGTATTTAATTAATATGCTGTGAACAAAGCAGCTCCTAGCTTTCAAAAAGCAAGCAATAAGTAGAGTTTACGTACCGGTTTTAGCAAGCAATAAGTAGAGTTTACGTACCGGTTTTAGCTCCGTACTCTTCCTGTTGCTAATAAATAATTCACATTATTAGCATGAAGAGGTCAACTGAACAGAACTAAACTGTGGCTGTGATAACTTACACTTTAAAGGAAAGCCACTGCCACTAGGTGTCACTTACACTTTAAAGGAAAGCCACTGCCACTAGGTGTCACCCACATCCCAGACTAACTTTCAGTACTGTAGATACAGGGCAGAGGTCTAAACTGTCTATTTGATTCAAATAATACTAAAATTAACTGACACTGAGAAAAAGATGACGTTGACAGAAACTGGTGTGGCTGGTGGAGAGTGGGAGCCATTAAAGCTCTTAATCTTTTTCTTCATTCGTTGACTCTGTCATTTGTTTTCCATTGAGCGGCTAGCCTAGCTTAGCATCATAGACACGACAGCTGACTCTGGTGTTTAGTCACACACAAACACAGAAATGACGTGTTTATTCAACAGGAGACGTCCAGTGTTGCGGTCAGAGTTTGTCCCGCTCTCAAACGACAGATTAAGTTTAATTCCTGATGAACCAGCAGCCCTCAGATTGTACATCCTGCTCTAAGTGACAAATCTGAAGGAGGCTGAGAAGTGATGAATTCCCTCTGAGGATAAAACATTTAATCCCAAAACAAAGAAAGCTCCAGCAGCCAGCGACACAACAGGATCACACACTTCTGCTGCCTCTGGCTCTGCATTTCAAATGACCACAACACAACATGAAGTGCTCACAGGGTCAAAGACTGATATTAAATGCAGACGCTTACCACGCTATGATCATCAGAACTTACCCCAAACCCAAGCTACGATAAAGGCAGACCCACCAGTAGCTTGTTTGCAGTCATGATATTCTGATGAAATTCAGATCGAAAGGAAGTGAAAAACAGAAATTAAATATATATATATAAAATTAAATTAAACAGTATTACGAGAACTCCCAGTCTGTGAGCAGTTAGTGTTTAGCTAATAGCTACAAGTACATGTCCATCAGTAAACTCTGTAAATCCCTGAGAGTTGAGACAGAGAAGCTGCAGAATATCAGAGTAAAAACCAGAAAATACAACTATTGTAACTATGAAAGCTTTTATTTGGCAAAACAAAACAAACATTTGGAGAGTTTCTCAATGTGGTTTCAATGTAGAAAGTCACTTCCTGCCCTCCATCGGCGGTTCGTGCCGCAGGAAAGCACGAATGTGTGCGTGACAGAGCAGCAGTTACTGTATGAGTTAATATTAACCTTCAGTAAAATATTTCTGCTCTTGTACTGGGAAACTTTGACCAAAGAATAAAAATTTCTAGTTCAGTTTGACCTTTTTAACGCAGCATCCAGTTAGTGACGTTTGATTATCACCAGTAATAAGTAAGGTAGATACAGGGCAGAGATCAGTGCTATAGATACTGGGCAGAGGTCTTTTATGCAGTGCAGGTGTGTGTTTACATTTGCTACGATAGCTGGCTTTCAGCATTTGTGCATAAATATGATCTGAGGCTGTTCGCAGAGTACAAACAAATTGAGGTAAGAAAACATTGATTAATCTAGTTTTTGTGTGTTTGTGCGACAGCTATGTTTATCTGCATCTACAGCGTTTAGAAAAATGAAGCTAAAAGTTGAATATTTCCCTGTGAAATGTGGTGGAGGTAAAGCTCGTCTTATTCTGGAGCAAAACACTCGACTTTGACACCACAAGATGTCAAATAACAACTTAATCCCATGTTATCCGGTCAAACATTGAGCAGAATCCATCGTCACTTTGTTACATCTGAACTGTTAAAGCGACTCTAATCCTCTGCTCGCTCCTAAAATTATAACAGGATTAAACATTTGAAAGAGGCATCCTTTCATTGAATATCAGAGCAGTGCAGAGTGGTGGACACATTTTCTATCATCGTCCCTGTGATGACGATAGAAAAACTTGCTCTCCGAGTTGAAGCTCGTTAGAAAAAGAATAAAAAATAAAAGCCAAAGAAAACAAAAGTACAAAAAGAATGAATTAAAAAACGCTAGTGTCCTGTTTTTGTTCCGGATCCCCCTTATGAATATTCACCACAGATTTTAATTCAAAAACTTTATGTTTCATCTCAGCGAGTCCTTGTTCCTCCCTGCCTGCTGTCCTAGTTGTACCTGTGACAACAACACACACTTAAACACACACTTAAACACACACTTTTCCCAACAGCGACTACATCGGTGCCAAGTTGGACGCGCTACAAAGAGAAACCCTCACACACACACTCTCTCTCGGGTGGAGTAATGACACAGATATAAAGGGGGGCGGGATCACACACACAGTCAGAGGGGTGGGATAAGGGACTTTAAAGACGGGAGGATGGGAAGAGTGGGGGAGTAGAAACAGAGGACACACACACACACTCAAACAGTCGAACCATATGTGGGGGGACACACTCTAAAGAGTCCTAAAATGTCCTGTTAAATACATAATATCCAGCACACACACAGAGAGCCTTTAGTGTCATGTAAAATTCACCTCTGGAGCCCCCGAAGTTTGTGGCGACAAATGACAGAAAAGCGACAGAGAGGGAAAACCAGTTTTTAAAGGAAAGTTCTGCTTTTCTTTTTTTTTTTTTTTAGCTTATTATGAAAATAATAAAACGTCCAACAGACAGAAACACAAACCTGTAGTCAGGGTGAACTGGGAACGTTTGTCAAAGAGACGGGTAATTCTAGAAAATAACCAACTTTTAAAGTTCCAAATCAATTTATTTATTTTCAAAAGTACTGACCACTGACCTGTATCTATAGCAATGCAAAGGTTCAGAACTAGGTGGGCGAACCAGAACTGAGACAGTTTTATGTTGGTGGAAACGGCCTTTCTGGGATATTTCATGAAATTAGCTCCTATTATTGAATTCTCTGAACCTGAATGGAACCGGTTACCTGTAACAGGCCTATTTTAGTTGGTTCCCAGCTGGAACCAAAAAATAACAGGTATCCCTTGGCGACCAAAGTGGGCGTGTCATATTTTACAGGTCGTTGTGTTTCTTTGTTTGAGAACCAGAGGTAGCAACAAGGAACTGGCTCCAATACGTACGCCTAGTTTTAAATTGTCTGGAGCATTTTGACTAAAATAAATTGGTTCTGAACTCAAAAAGTTGGTTCCCATCTGGACCCAATGTGGGCATGTCATATTGTACAGGTCGTTGTGCAGCACCCTCAGTTGATGACGCATCCTTTAATAAAACATGGAAACATGGGTTGGGATGATGTTGAATGGAACCAGCTCAGGAACCAGAACCAACACTGAACTAAAAGGACCTGAATCCAGAAAGATCCAATGAGTCCAGATCTGTAAATTATATCACATCACATAAAAATAACAATGAATTCTGTCAAACATCCAGTTTGTAATCTTCTTACAGACAGTTTCTGTCCGTATACAAACACTTTCTGATGAAAGGTCGCCGGCTGCAGCGACGGCGTTCAACCATCGTAGATGTCGGAGTTTCCTCCTGCTGCTTTGTTGTTTTCGGTGCTGAACAAACAGCGTGACCTGGTTCAGTGAGGAGACCGAGCCAAGAACGCAGGACCAGGACTCTCAGTTAGGACATCGAGGAGGTGGTACTGCTGCTGCGTTTCAAACACGACCCCTCTGAGAGGTTCTGGTTGGGAAGTGTGTCAACAAACGGAGATCACACACACACACACACACACACACACACACACACACACACACACACACACACACACACACTAACAGAGTGTTATCGTCTGATATTCTAATTAGTACGACATCAAAACAGGAAAGAGGTCCACCAGCTCCCAGCAGACACAAAGCCTGTCCAACAGCCCTACCTTCATTGTGTGTGTGTGTGTGTGTGTGTGTGTGTGTGTGTGTGTGTGTGTGTGTGTGTGTGTATGTGTGTGTGTGATCGACAATATTAGAAACTTTTCAGGACGTTTTTGCTCCGAGGAAAAGAACTGTGAGTCTTTTTGACAACAGTTTTAAGATATGAT